GGGGGGTGTGTGTGTCTGTGGCTTGCTTGGTGTGTGTTGAACGCAGGCAGTGCCCAGGACGAGGTCCTGTGACTGACCACGTCTTCTGTCCTGCTCACGCTGTCTCGTGCCCTCCCGTTTGCCTCAGCACCGACTATCCTGACGGACGTTTCTCCGGAGTCAAAGGTGATGGAGGAGGAAATCTTTGGCCCGGTCCTTCCCATTCTGAGCGTGAAGAGCGTGGACGAAGCCATTGAATTCATCAACCGTCGGGAGAAGCCCCTTGCCCTGTATGTCTTCTCCAACAACAAGAAGGTGGGTCTGGGCTGTGCTCCCCCGCGGAGGCGTCTCTGTGCAGTCGCATCCTGAACGTGGCCAGTCCCAGGCACAGCCGTGTCGGCTCCTCTTTGCTTGTGAATGGCAGCGTTTGTCTCACGGGGGACCGTGAGTGTCCCCAGAGTTGGTGGAAGCTCCCAGTCTCCTGCTGAAGTGCTTTGCGTTTGCATGACTTTATGAAATAGAAGGATAAAAGGCTGAATTTCCTCTTGGTTGCCGTGTGGTCTTTCTTGATTAATTGGCTTACTTTTAATATATTGCAAGGGAGGCAAGGTCCCAGATTGCCAGCTTTCACATCCCTCCTCTGAACTTTCCCACTTTCTTTGAGTTAACATTGAATGGAGAGGGCTTGTCTGAGTCGTCAGTCAGAGGAAATGAACACGATGGCCGGTTGGCTCATAGCTCCCCTCGCGGTCCCGCTCGGTTACATGCTCTGGCCTCTTCTGGGCCTTTGTAGCGTTCTGTTTGGTGTTTTTCTTTTGTCAGTTAATCAAGAGAGTCATCTCGGAAACCTCCAGTGGGGGTGTTACTGGAAACGATGTCATCATGCATTTCTTCCTCTCAACCTTACCCTTTGGTGGTGTCGGTAAGTGGCTGGAGCTCCTTAAGCGTTGTGACTTGATGCGCGGTGTAACCCGGGGAACAGGAGCAGTTGGTTTGTGTCCAAGCACCCCTTGGTACCGCAGATCTCAACAATAAATTCTGGGGGTACCTTAGGAAAGGGGCCAAAAGAGAGAAACCTTTGGTTGTGTTTTTGGGAAGACTGAAGCGTTTAGTGCAGACTGATGTGAAAGGTGCGTTATAAACATTAGCTGTGCTCGGAGTGATTAGCAGTAATTGCAGGAGGCAGGGTAGGACTTCAGCTTGGGGAGA